ATTATGATCCTTCCTTCCTCCCTTCCTATCTATCTATCTATCCATCTATCTATCTACCTACCTATATATGGGTGTGTGTGTGTGTGTGTGTGTGTATGTGTATCCAGACATTTTTATACAAGTAGATTTGGTGCTAATGTGAGGTAACTAGAAATCATCTGTATACTTTTATATATCCAACAGAAATGAGTATTTATATACAACAGACATGTACAAGATTATTCATAGAAGCTTTCTTCATAACAGTCAGAAACTGGAAACATTCATAACAGCTATCAATGTAGAATGGATTTTTTTAATGTAATGTATTTATAGTAAAGGGCAATGAATAGAAACCAATACTATGCATGACAAAGTAGATGAAACTCAGACACGATGTTGAACAACAAAAAAGAGTCACCAAAAAAGCATATCTGCATTTGTGTGTGTCTGCTTCTGGTTTTGTTTTATTAAATTCAAGAGCAAGCAAACCAATCAGTGGTGATACAGATCAGCACAGCTGCTGTTGGGGGGGATGGGACTGAGCGGGAGGAAGGAGAGATTTCTGGAGCACTAGAAGCATTCCGACGAGTGGGTGCAGGAATGGATCGCAGGCACAAGTTCCTTAAGCTGTACGTTCAACGAGTGAGCACGTCTGTGTGCGTCAATTACACCTCAACAGAAAATGTTTTTACAAATGCGTTTGGCGTCAGGTTCTCTTAGAATTTGTCAGCGAGCTAGCCCGTGAGAGGAATGAGCATTTCCGTAACTGTGCCATCAAGCGTACCTGAGGTTGTGGGAAGCTGTTCGAGGCATAATGTTGAGTACCGATGAAAAGGCAAACTTAAAGCCCATTTACAATTCTGAAGGACCCAAATGTGTGCTCCTGAACACTTAAAGACGACTCCACTCAGAAGTGGTTCACCGAGTTGCAAAGCCAGTATGTCCGAAATCGGGCCAGTCACCTCCTCTGCTACTCTCTACCTCCTCCTGCCTCCACTAGGTCCACGAAGGGCTGATCATTCATGCATTCAGGTCAGGAAAACGGGAATCGTCCTGGACTCTTCCCGTCCATCCGCCCTCTCTCCCTGCACATTGCTTCCAATTCCAATCCCCATGAGTCAACCCCACACCTCAAAAGTCAGCTCCAGCACGACGACACCTGGGGAGGCCTATGTGACTCTCCACACCCTTGCTCCCAAAGTTGGGTTAATTATCCCTCCTTCTCTGTGCTGCCCTGTCTACCCCTCTGGGGACTTGATGACATCGTAGTGGTTGTTTTACTCAGCTGTAAGTCCACAGGACTGCGACCCGTTATGGGGCAGGCACCATATTGTTGCTCGAGTGTCTTCTTCGCCCAGGGCACAGCTGTGCCTTTGTACTTGCTCAATACGTACTTCTTGCCTAAACGATGAAATCTAACAGTAACCTTCATGTTAGGCGCTTATGCACATAAGCGAAGACCTCTAGGGCTGCCGGACTAAGGCCGGCTAGTGTCCTAGTGATCACATTAGGAAATGCTGGGTGACAAGGGGTGGCATGAGTGAAAGTTCGCGCAGATGCAGCAGAGCAAAGCCATCCCCATTGCTAGACCAGTCCAGGGTGGGCTGAGTTACAATGTTATCTCCATTTTCAGAGAGACGGGAGCAGCAGAAACACTGGTGCTCACATATCTCCATCCTGAATAATGATTATCACCATAAAACATAACATTAACTTCTTTTTTCTCTGGCATGGTATGACAGAAAAGAATTGTTACTGGAACCAGTTAGTGAAAGGGCCTTAACATACTGTTTGGCAGGAAATTTTCCTCGGATGAATTTCGTAAGTGATTCCTTCATAAATGAATCAATTTGTGCTATTCATATTTATTCTGTCATATTGCCAGAATCACACGCTATATGATTTCAAGTAAAAATCTGGGTTTGGGGGCGCCTGGGTGGCTCAGTCGGTTAAGCGTGCATCTGCCTTCGGCTCAGGTCATGATCCCAGAGTCCTGGGATCGAGTCCCACATCGGGCTCCCTGCTCAGTGGGGAGCCTGCTTCTCCCTCTCCCTCTCTGCCTACTGCTCTGCCTACTTGTGCTGTCTCTCTCTCTGTCAAATAAATAAATAAGGAGAGAGAAAGTGAAAACCCACTAAAGGAGCATGGATTGCAAAAACAATTAAAAAAAAAAAATCTGGTATTCAAAATGCTTGACTTCTAATATCAGAATGATCAATTCTTAGGACTGACTTTTTATATCCTTGTCAAGAGCAAAGCATTTATAAATTTACAAATATAAACAAAAGATGACAAAATTCAAGCTACTGGACAACTTACTTTTCTACCACTTCCAGGTCCTAGCTGAAGTACTAATGTATATGAAGAGAAAGGTGCTGAGTAAGACGACAGCTCTAGTTTTACCACATCAAAACAGTTCTCAGAATGCATCAGCCCTTAGGCCTTCCCTTATGAAAAACCCTCTAGAGCACAGAGGCCAAGAGTGTGAACTCTGGAGCCAGCATGCAAGGGGCAGCCTCCATACTGCCACCTGTCGGCTCTCAGACCCGCTTTGTTGTGTCTCGGTTTTCTCATCTGTAAAATGGAGATAACAGCGTGCCTACCTCTTAGGCAACTGGAAACATTAAATGAGTTAATTCATGGAATGTGCTTAGAAGAGCTCCTACATAATGTTTAATGCTTACTAAAGGTTCGCATTCACTGGGCCGTAGTGTGTGGCTCAATATAACGGTGAATTAAGACAGTTCCCGCCCTATTGGGGTTATCCCGCCAATAAATACATTATTGTGAACTTAAACAAGAAATATTAAGACAGTATAACCTAGTCTTGGAATGATCAGGGAGGGCAAAGTAATCATCAGTTAAGACTCCAAGGGCCAGGAAAAAGTGAACTAATAACAGCTAGCATGTTGCAGAGGTCCTCCATTAAAGCTTCCCCTGAATAACAGATTTTAAAGACTGAAAGGTAAGGAGCATTGCAAAGGAGGGAGACAGGCCCTATCATCAGTGTTCCTGCAGTTTTTGTAATCACACAGATAATTAAGCACTTACAAGAGCAGTCAGCTTATTGTACAAGAAGATCACGAATATAGAGAGTTTTAACTATTATTCTTTTGTAAGACTGAATAAAAGAGGTTGTAATATACAGTAAGACTATGAAAATAATGAGAAATAAGCAAAGCAAGTGCAATCATTAAAAATAACTATTGCTAACTCTTGGCCTTATAGTCTCTTCTGGCAAGGTCACACTGTAACTGGGCAGCAGGTCAGTCAAATTTTTATGACACCAAATTACAGGTTACAACTTCCTGAGCAGGTCTTTCAGGGTTTAACTTCTCTTGATCCACCTCGAAGATCAGGCTAATTAATTACTAAAAAAAATAGTAATTATGGTCACGGTTTATGGGGAACTTATTGTATGTCAGTGAGTACAGATATTAATCAAATCTTCATTTTTACGTGCTTCGGTTGTTAAATACCTCCTCTCAAAAAGCATCTTCTTCCAGCACCCCAACCCCAGGGTATTTTATATTTATGTTGTGAGGAAATTCTTGCGCTCAGCTTATAGAACATGGAAATAAAAGCACAGAAATTTCTGGCCAGAAGACAGTATTACTTTTTATGCCTTCGCTAAAGTCAGGTCAGTATTAAAAAATCTGCACTGTAACTAGAAAAGAGTCAATGTTGTAAAAACTCATTATTTTAAAAAATACTTCGAAGACAATTTCTTTAAAGTACTGGACGGTGACTGAAATGCTAACTCAGTAATGTGCTCTGCCTCAAGGCAGAAACAAGGCCCTCCGTGAAGCACCCTCAACAATCAAGCAGAAATTACAAAGGCAGGATAGAAACATCAACTCTCCCTGCTCTGTGCACCTTTCCTAAACACAAAATACATGTACCTGCGCAGTATCCATCATGTAAAAGCCCAAATTCTCCATGCATTTCTATTCTCATTCACATTATAATACCAACAACCCAGTTCTCTTAAGCATTTGTACAGATGACTATAAATATACACGGTATGACAACCGCCAAAGCCTGTAACATCCCAACGTGAAATAAGCAACGATGAGCTGGGGTATATAAAAATATTGATTATAAAAGTTATTTTTTTTCCTTGAAATTTACTAGTCAGGAGATTCTGGCAGTTGTAATTATTTCTACCAAAATCAACAAGAGTAATGCACATCATTGCTACAAAATTCACATTAAGCATAATGGAAGAAATCGGAGCAAAAATTCAACCAAAAAGAAAGAAAATGGAAATAAAACACAGAAGCAAGAGGAAATACCCTTGGGACAGAGGTCCCAGAAACCCCCCTCTTCACAAAACATGTCTTTCCCACTATGAGAACAGGAGGCTTGTATGTTAATTTCTGATTGCAGGTAGAATTAATGTCATCTCTCAAAGGCCATTTGAAAGCACAGGCCCTGGTCGAAATGATGTTCCCACTGTCTAAATTCACTGCTGTGAGAAGGGCATGTGGCAGAGGGGAGGGAAAAGTACAGAAATGGATTAACCCAGTGGGCTGGAAAGAAAGACTTCGGGTACTAACAAGACGTAGGCAGCCAGCCAGGATCGCCCAGGGCACTAAGATGCCGTCAAGGAAATGGGGAATGGGGAAGAAGCATAAAGTCACAAAAGTATACACTACTAGAACTTTCATCTTAAGGCAATTCTGATCCATCATCAATTAGCCTATCAATTAAAAAAAAAAACCACCTAACTACTACTACTACTACCATCTATAATGGCAAAAATCATATGGTACTTTGATCTTTAACACTCCTCACAGTCTAGCTCAACAAACATGTACTAGACTGAATCTGACATGTATTTTCCTTTCCTCAACTGATCAAAACGCAATCTTCTCTTTAAATTTAGGTAAAATTAATCCTTCTCTCAGGATTTTTACTCTTCATCGACTGATTTCATACAGTTACTGTGCCTATCAACAGTACGTTTTAAATTAAATAGAAAAGGAAAGAGCAATGCATCCAACAAAATGTCATACCTGGTGGTACCTCCTGTTGTTCTTCAGCAGGGGGCATGTGCTCTTCTAAAATAAGTAAGAAAATTACAATCCATTATATATCACTGACCAGTGTTTAAGATACAGATTGTATTTAAGTTACAGTGATTATTTTTACAGATGTTTTTGGGATTCGCGTGCAATGATAACAAAAACATTAAGTTTTCACACTATTACAACAAAGAAGAATTAGCTAGAACTTCACAAAATGTTGTATACTTCTCAAGTGTTCATAAAATAGGCTTTACGTTATCTGCCTAACTAACTGCAAAACTCGCTGCCTGGGCAAAGGAGATATGAACTAAAACCCAGGTCTTCACCACAATTTTGCATCAGACTTGATAAGAAAGCTGAGGAAAGATGTTTAAAATATTTTGTTAAAAAATTTTTAAGACATAACCCTAATTGTAACATGAACGAAACAACGCAAAGAAATTGAAAGATCAGAGTCCTAAAAGTAAATTACTATCCTTAATAAAGTTTCTGAAAAATAATATTCAAGATAATATATTCTAAGACTGGCCAAAAATATGGAGATGACTTTTTTAACATCTTGCTTTTTTCCCTGGCCACTTCCTCCCATTTGCAACTAAAGAGACTGTAGACTTTATCACATAATGGTATAATAATATACTGATCTGATTCACTCTATCAAATTACATCACATTTTAAGAACTTCATCGCTAACAACCCACTGAACATTACCTTAATCTAGAGATAAGATTATATTAGCTTTCCTTTTGCTCCTAAAGACTTGGAACAGACTTTGGTCAAAAGGAAGAATTTTTATAGCATTTTCTAAAACTCATACATTTATGCAACTATTTTAATCATTTTTCTTCTTATATTAATTTGCTTCTAATTTTAAGAATAATACATACCCAAATGGAAGATTTGGAAATATTTTTCACATAAAAGGAAAAAGGAAAAAAAAATCTCACCTATTCCCACTGATCACAATTAATATTCTGGCGTATTTCGTTGTTTCAGTGGCAGCACTGGGAGTGTTTACTAGCTTTCTCTGTTGTGACTGGCTTGTTAAGGTTTGCCTACTAATTTTGTTCTCAGTAAGTTAGAGATCTACTAGCACTGTACCACCTTTACCAATATTTTTTTCTCAGAATTTCTTTTACTTGTCACTTTAGGCTTGAAAAACTTGTATGCATCATAAAGTATTAGTCACTTTATTATTTCCATCACTGATACTATACTAAGAAAGCCTTATTATTATTGCAAGATAAATTTTCAACCAATTTTATTCTGAAAAAGTGTTCATTTAACAAACTTACCTGAAAATTATTTTGGCAATGATGTAATGAGAGGATTTTTTAAAAGGAAATAGCAAACTAATTATATCAGCACAGCCTGATTTTCTTTACTCCAGGACTTTTTAAACCCACTTCAGTATGGATTTCAACTCCCACCTTCATGATGATGGCTCCCAAACACATCCACCTCAGGTCTCACTCATCTAGCTCCTACCACTGGCACATCCAACCCACTACTTGATACCCCCACCTGGGAATCTCACAACTTTCTCAAACTTAAAATATCTAATATGGAGCCTTGGTTTTCTCCCCTAAACCAGTTTTCTCTATATCCTAGTTTCCCCACCTTCCAACAGTTGGTAAATGGCCCCATCATCCGACAGTTACTCAAACCAAACCAAAGTCTCCCTTGATTTCTCTTTCCTTCACAATCATCAGAAAGTTCCATCAGTTGTCCTCAAAAATCTCTCTCAAATTCAAAACTTTCCCCTCCATTTCCACTGCCATGACATTACTCCAGGCCACCACGATCACTTCCTGGATTGGTACCCAATCATGTCCTAACAGAGTGGTCCCTGCCTCCATTCTTGCTCCATCCAATCCATTTTCTAACTAGGAGTGAAAGTAATTCTTTAAAGTAAGTCAGATTATGCCATACCTCATTTAAGTATTTTTCCAGATTCCCAATGCACTGCAATATAGTCCAAATTCCTCACCAAGTTCACAACTGATCTGTCACCTGAATCTTTCATGCTTAAGCCAATTCAAGTTTAGTTTTCTGTTGCCTATAATGGAAAGTAACCTGACACAGATGGGGAAGAAAAGAGGGTTTAGGCACAGGGCTGATACAGCCTAACCTGTACTTCTGAATAGCTCACCCTAATGGCATCATGACAGATGGGTTTGAAGGGGACAAGTATCAAGTTGAGAAGATAGGCTAAAAGGTGACCACTGTTGTCCAGGAAGCCGATGAGGGCTGAACTAGATCACTAGAGCCACAGAGAAAAGAATGCATTTGAGAAATGTTTCGGAAGCCCATTCACCAGGACTTGGGATTAGCTGCAGAGATGGAGGGAGTGTCAATGACGACACTCGCATTTCTGGTGTGGGAATCCAATTATATACTGAGGCATCGAGCCAAGTCAAGGAAGAGGGGGGAAAGAGAGGTTAGAGGGCATGTGAATTATGATGAGCTCTTTCTCACTGACCACTCGAGGTTCCAAACACAGGAGCACAGAAACTACAGGTGGGGCTAGCAGTGCACAGTCCAGAGCCCCACTACCCCCCAGAAAGAATTCCCTTAGCAGTCTCCACTACGTCCTCTACTGGCTTATCAAAATGCCTGAGAAGTCTTTGGAAAAACTACTTCGAACACAGGAAAGGCAGGGCCAAGAGGCATATTGTGATGTTTTGTCCCTTATATAAAACGATACAGGTGGGATGGGTTGGATAAAGTTCTTCCGAGGGATGTGGGGTTTCCAGTTTCTGATTCTGACTGAATAAAAAACAGACTCGGCTATATTCTTCAAAAAGAACTGAGTAATAGGAGGTAGGAGAAATTCTGAACACTATCCAGCCTGCTACGTGGAGATGAATGTGCGTGTACTCAGAGGTCCCACAGCAGCCGTGGAGGGGTCTCTGCCGGCAGCCAAGTGGACGATGAGGGCAATTCTGGTATCCCCACATTCCCTCCACTCCTCCCTATCTTCTCCCATTTCAGTCAACTGTACTATTAAATATTCTGCCTAACCAAGCTCAAAAGCAGTAACATTTAACCTGAAAACTGATAATGAGTGGCTCATAAATGAATTCTTTTTTTTTTCAGCCACAGTCATTTCTTACTCTTTTATTGACCTATTTCTAATTATTTGTCTTTATCCCTACTCCAATATAGTCATGTGCTGAAAATTAGAACTTAGGATGTAGGGCGCCTGGGTGGCTCAGCTGGTTAAGCGACTGCCTTCAGCTCAGGTCATGATCCTGGAGTCCCTGGATAGAGTCCCGCATCGGGCTCCCTGCTCGGCAGGGAGTCTGCTTCTCCCTCTGACCCTCCTGCTTCTCATGCTCTCTGTCTCTCATTCTCTCTGTCTCAAATAAATAAATAAAATCTTAAAAAAAAAAAAAAAGAACTTAGGATGTATATTCAATATTGAGTATATATAGTGGGTTTTTTTGCCTTTTTATTTTTTATTTATTTTTTTATTCTTATGTTAATCCCCATACATTACATCATTAGTTTTAGATGTAGTGTTCCATGATTCATTGTTTGTGCATAACGCCCAGTGCTCCATGCAGAATGTGCCCTCCTCAATACCCATCACCAGGCTAAACAATCCTCCCACCCCCCTCCCCTCTAGAACCCTCAGTTTGTTTTTCAGAGTCCATCGTCTCTCATGGTTCGTCTACCCCTCCGATTCCCCCCCTTCATTCTTCCCCTCCTGCTACCTTTTTTTTTTCTTAACATATATTGCATTATTTGTTTAAGAGGTACAGATCTGAGATTCAACAGTCTTGCACAATTCACAGCGCTTACCAGAGCACATACCCTCCCCAGTGTCTATCACCCAGTCACCCCATCCCTTCCACCCCACCCCCCACTCCAGCAACCCTCAGTTTGTTTCCTGCGATTAAGAATTCCTCATATCAGTGAGGTCATATGATACATGTCTTTCTCTGTTTGACTTATTTCGCTCAACATAATACCCTCCAGTTCCATCCACGTCGTTGCAAATAGCAAGATCTCATTCCTTTTGATGGCTGCATAATATTCCATTGTATATATATACCACATCATCTTTATCCATTCATCTCTCAATGGACATCTTGGCTCTTTCCACAGTTTGGCTATTGTGGACATTGCTGCTATAAACATCGGGGTGCACGTACCCTTTCGGATCCCTACTTTTGTATCTTTGGGGTAAATGCCCAGTAGTGCAATTGCTGGATCATATGGTAGCTCTATTTTCAACTTTCTGAGGAACCTGCATACTGTTTTCCAGAGTGGCTGCACCAGCTTGCATTCCCACCAACAGTGTAGGAGGGTTCCCCTTTCTCCGCATCCCCGCCAACATCTGTCGTTTCCTAACTTGTTAATTTTAGCCATTCTGACTGGTGTGAGGTGGTATCTCATGGAGGTTTTGATTTGGATTTCCCTGATGCCGAGCGATATTGAGCACTTTTTCATGTGCCTGTTGGCCATTTGGATGTCTTCTTTGGAAAAATGTCTGTTCATGTCTTCTGCCCATTTCTTGATTGGATTCTTTGTTCTTTGGGTGTTGAGTTTGATGAGTTCTTTATAGATTTTGGATACTAGCCCTTTATCTGATATGTCATTTGCAAATATCTTCTCCCATTCTGTTGGTTGTCTTCTGGTTTTGTGGACTGTTTCCTTTGCTTTGCAAAGCTTTTTATCTTGATGAAGTCCCAATAGTTCATTTTTGCCCTTGCTTCCCTTGCCTTTGGCGATGTTTCTAGGAAGAAGTTGCTTCGGCTGAGGTCAAAGAGGTTGCTGCCTGTGTTCTCCTTTAGGATTTTGATGGACTCCTCTCTCACATTGAGGTCTTTCAACCATTTGGAGTCTATTTTTGTGTGTGGTGTAAGGAAATGGTCCAGTTTCATTCTTCTGCATGTGGCTATCCAATTTTCCCAACACCATTTGTTGAAGAGACTGTCTTTGTTCCATTGGACATTCTTTCCTGCTTTGTCAAAGATGAGTTGACCACAGAGTTGAGGGTCCATTTCTGGGCTCTCTATTCTGTT